CCAAAACACAGGCACTTGAGTTGCAGAGATTAAACTGTAAAGCAAAAACCACTCATACTGCTAATGATCTGACTGCCCCAGTTTTAGTATGAAACGCATGATCGCATGAGCAATCCTGTTGCGTTGCTACCTAGTTTTTGTCAAAAGCGGCCTGCGAGCTTAAGTAAGCGTATAAATCAGGCCCGCGTGTCGCCAAAGGCTGCCTATGCTCTAGTAAGTCACTTAACATTCGCTTCGTAACGGCAATGGGACTGATCTTGGAACTTGCCTAACTAGTGCGAGAGATTCCGGTCTCGATCGCCGGCTCAGCCCCAATTGTTCGGCTGGAGCCTTGGAGATCTCGCCCATTGGTCAGATGATTCGGCGCCTCTTCGGATCGCTGGCTAAGCTGTCGATTCCTTTGTGATGGTTCGAGCTAGGAGGGTCCGTACCCTTCATTAATCGTTGGGGCTGCTAGCACATCACAAGCTTCTTTAACACAGTTTAGCGCCACTATATATGCCCTACCTAGGAGGGAATCATACAATGCAACATTTCCATACAGAATACGTTCGAAAAAAATTCAGCTTCCCGCTTCTTTTGTTGCACAGTTAAAAGAGGATGAAAACAAATCCCCTGTATGATCCTCCATTTTCCCCGTTTTTATGCGTTTTTTGCAGCTATGCAATGCAGAAAATGCATACTGATGAGGGATTGTCTGTTTGTATGTGTCTGTGTGTTCGTCTGTACCGATCTTTCATCTCGAGACCAGGCCGAAATTTTGGAAACGTAATCTGCTTGCATGTACGGACCCCCATCTCCAAAATGAACGCTATTACCCGAGTGGTATTTACTTACGGGCCTGCCAAAATTTTTACGAGCAAGCCACTATCTCGGAAACCAGAGAAGCTGCAAGGCTGAAATTTAAAGAAGACGTTTCCCTCCCACGTAGGTATCAGTGACCTCAAAACCAGCCATCGGATGTGCGCGGTAACCACATACGGGCTCGTGAAAGTTTTTTTCGGGTAAATTGCTAGCTCGGGAACCTGAGAAGTTGAAGGATTAGAATGTTAAGGGGATGTTCCCCGTCAAGTATGTGTTAGTGAGCTCAAACCCAGACACGGGTATGCTTGACACCCAGAACAGGCTAGCGAAAGTTTTTTCGGGTAAGTTGCTAGCTCGCGAAACTGAGAAGCTAGAAAGTTGAAATTTTAAGGAGTGTTTTCTGATACTTCTGGCAGCCAGTCTTAATTTGTTTAGCTAGAAGCATTTACCGGAAAACCGGTGCTGGAGGCGACAAAAACTGCGGGGAAATGTTCGCACGGGCAGTGCGCACGTTGGCCAATTATAATACCTTTTGAGCTAAGTAACAGCAGCACAAAACGCATATTGTTACAGGCCTGTGTGTGTGTGTGCGCGTGTATCTGCCCGAGTGCACTTTGCCCCGCACTTTCAACTCTAGAATCACGAGAGGAACGCTGAAATTGTG